GATGAACTGGTAAGGGTGTTTGATCCTGTACCACCTGAACGTGAGGCAGCCCATAAACTGTTTGTCTTAAAGCAAGGTAACTGCAGAGTCACAGAGTATATCATAGACTTCCATACCTTTGCCTCAGACAGTCAATGGAATGATCCAGCATTAATGGATGCATTTTTTCAAGGCTTAAAGGAGGAAATTAAAGATGAACTGGCCACAAGAGATCGCCCGGGAGACCTACGTACTCTGGAGGAACTGGCTACTCGTATTGACAACAGGCTGAGGAACGCAGACGTGAGAAAGGAGGCACTTCCTACTCCCTGCCACGCTTTCGAGGAGAAAAACGAACCACCTCTTCGGACTCCTACGATGGCCCCAACTTTCTTTCCCCGGAGGAACCCATGCAGATCGGCAGAACCAAACTCTCCTTGGTGGAGCGGAACCGTCGCAGGTCAGAGAACTTGTGTTTTTACTGAGGGGCAAAAAACCATCAAATCAAGGACTGTCCGTTAAAAGGTCAGGCTCAGCAAGGTCCAGGAGAGTCTTGCTGAGTCCAGTCAATAAAAAAACTGAAATCTCCTCCTTGCTCTCCCTGCCTGCTAATTTGTGTGTCAAAGGTGTCATGAGTCAGGTCCAGGTCTTCATCGACTCCGGTGCAGACTCTGAGTTTATTGACCATAACTTTGCTAAAGCCCTAGGGGTCAAGTTATTGTCTACACAAAACAACCACAAAGTTACTGCATTAGATGGTCACATACTCAATGCTGACAATCTAGAAACTGAGTTTGTTCAACTTTCATCATGTGGTAACCACCAAGAAATGATCAAATTCTTTGTCATTCAATCACCTGAGCTACCTGTTATTCTGGGATCTACTTGGCTGAAGAAACATAATCCTCACATTGACTGGGTCAAAAGAGAAATCTCAGGCTGGGCTAATCAATGTTCTTCCTCATGTTTGTTAGACGCCAAAGGGTCTTCCTGTCCTCCAGAAGATACTTGATTTAACTAAAGTACCTAAGGAATACCATGATCTAAAAGAAGTCTTTAATAAGTCCAAAGCCACGTCACTACCCCCCCATAGACCTTACGACTGTCCGATTGATCTCATACCAGGTACAGTTCCCCCTAGGGGAAGGTTGTTTTCATTATCTATACCTGAAACAAAGGCCATGACTAAGTACATTGAGG